AATCAAGGCGCCCTCTTTTTAAGATAGGTGTTATTCCGTGTTCGTCCGTGCCAAATCTAACCGATCATAGTATCATTCTACTCAGCTCGAACAGCTCTTTCGAATGATATATTGAAAATTATATGCTAAGCAAAAAAGCTCAAAATGGTCATGGGAACAGAAAAAAAAGGGGACCAGCCTTGGAATTACCTTTCCCGGTACTCCCGGTACCGTCCCGAACAGATTTTTGGAATTTTCAGTACTAACTCGGTATCGGGACTTTTCGGACTCCCGATACCGGTAACGAAAAATCCATTTGCCGAACACTAATTTAGATATGTAAAATCTGAGTTCAACCAATTTCAGAATAAATGTCTTCCACCACATTCATTTGTATTATTTGTTCCAAAGCTTTGACTTCTAATAATATGTATTCCACTTCATGTGGTCACGTTTTCCATAGCGATTGTATTACAAAATTTATCTTTCAAGTAGGAAATTTAATTAAAAATTTAAATTAATTTATGTTTTTTAGAAAAAGTATTGTCCTAAATGTTGGAATGTTTTGAATTTGAATGATATTAAGCAAATTTTTTTGGAGGAAAAATCTTCAGGTTGTTCAGGCAATGTGCAAATTAAAACTGAATCAAACATAATGAAGGTAGGCATTGACGCCTTTTTGAATGAGTTTATAGAATCCAATGTTGGGGAACACCCAATCTTCTTCGAATATTTTACAAATATATGGATTTAGTTTTTGGTTTTTTGGTATAAAATAGAGCATAAAAATCTATTTATGTTGTATCAATAATTTTTTAAATTATAAATATGTCTGTTAAAGGGGGGGAGGGGGGGCACTTTTAATAAATATTTTCTAGGTTTATATTTGTAATTTCTACAAAAATCTTATTATAATGTGTTTTTCATATTGGAAAATTAAATTTAACTGTAACCCTGCAGAACATAAGGGGTACCGGAATTTTGGTAACTTGACCAATGTACTGCATTATTACCAATTTAACTATTTTTAAACAATCTTATTTTATTTCAGTTGTATGTTAAAGATACTTCAGGTGGAACAACTGTTATAGAAAAGGTTAAATTTTCAGATACACTTGAAGTTATTAAGTGTATGGTTGAAATGAAGCTGGGAATACCTACGTTTGAACAACGTTTGATTTGTAAATTAAAATTACCCCCTTCTAAATTAAATAAATAAATAATTTAATAAGAATTTATGTCTCATTTTTGGAAGCTTCTAAATCAGGTGCTCTCGTTCCAAAATCGCCGAGAACTAGAGACTGACCAATATTTTTATATCCTTTAAATATATGTCTTAGCAAATTGTACATATTACCCGATTCGATATTAATTAAAATAATTTTTAGATTTTCGCTGGCAAACAAGTTGAAGATGGACGTACAATGGCTTGTTATAATATAAAGGATGGTTCAACTATGTTTCTTGTTAAGCGTTTAGTCGGTTGTTGATGTTATGTTTTTTGGAACAGAAAAATGTTGAGAATTTTCTAAAATATGAGTTGTTTTTGAATAAATTTACTTTTGATACAAAATGTTCTAAAAAATAAAATTTTTTCACGATTTTTTGATAAAATTTGTTGGTTTTAAAAGATGTCAAAATTTTGAGAATAAAGTTGCAGAATTTTTGATATATACCGTAAACACTAAAATAAATACACTTGTTAATTTTTGTTTCAGTCTCTCGCTGGTGAGATAATCATTTGAGAAAGGGTACTTATTTCATCATTAACTGTACCTACTAGTATATTTAATTGAAATTATTTATTAAAACGCTAATGATGCGTAAAAATTATACATACAAACAAACTTTTTCACAGTTAATCCACTAAAGTGCATAGGTAAATTCTCAGAATTTATATGTGAATTATATTATATCCCGATGAATTATATTTTATGTTTGCAGCGGAATTGAAAAAAATTAAATTTAGCTCCTAAAGAAAAATATGTATAAATTTTTAATCTCTGATTTTCACTTGTTATCCAAATCGAAACTTAAATTACTATGATTATCCATGCTAAACATTCAATATATAAATTTGCTTAACAATTTTTTTGAGTTTTTAATAACATTTTTAGTTTTGGATGAGCTTTATGTTTGGATGGCTCAAATTTTAGTGTGTTTGTTTAAATGCTTCCAATTGCCTAAAAGTGAACTAAAAATGAAATAGTAAAATTTTTATTTGGCCAACAATCATTTTACTTGTCTTGTTTACATTAATTTCTAAATTTGGTAGTTTTTTGTTTGGATTTTATTTTTTGTGTTGATAACTCTCTCCTTTATTTATTCGAATGCTTAGCTGAAAAAAGGGAAAATTAAAGCCGATATTTAATTTAAAGGTGTTCATATAGTCTACAGCCAGCATCTTCAGTTGACAGGATAATGTTTTATCCATTAATAACGCCGGCTCCTCTTTTCTTCCATATTTTACAATTTAAGTACAATATCATTTTTTTTTGCTTTTCTGTTAATAAATTTCACAAAATCTTTTTATTTACTCTGAATAGCCTAAAATTTGCATTCGCAAAATCTTAACATTGTTCTAAAATTTTCCTTTAATGTCTATTGGTAGCTCTAACTTGCAGCGCTCAATTATTTGCTTTTCATTTTCTTTTTCAATCATCAATTCCGAGTAGAGATCGAGCTGGACCTGGACCAAGGCCTGGGTTTTTCCTGTACCCAGAGTTCAAGTCCAAGGCATTTTTTACCCTTCCTGGGTTTTTCCTGGACTACAGGCCCAGGATCCAGTCCAGGTCAAGAATCAAACTCCAGAGTCCAGGAACAGGTCCAGGCTTTTCAAAAATCCCGATCTCTAATTCCGAGTGCCATATTCCCACAAATTTTCATGTTTTTGAGTGGCTGCATCTGTTTTGGCATCTTGTAAAAAACCACCCTTTTTCAGAAAAATTTCTGCCTTCAATTTGCTCATTTCAATTAAAACTAGTGAAAAATGTACAGAATAAAGCTTTATATTTGAGATTTTAATTATTTTAATTTTTAAAAATATTCTGCATTTTTTGGAAGAATCCGCCTTATTTTAGCCTACAAAAGGTCTCCTTGGTTTCGGGTTAAATAGTTACGCTGTATACTTTCCCTTAAAAAAGTCGGCACCAAAACGAACACCCATCCATATTTTTTTAAATTAAATTTCAGATATCTAAATGTCTTCTACTAAATTTATTTGTGTTATTTGTTCCGAACCTTTAACTTACAAAAATATGTATTCAATTTCTTGTGGACATATTTTTCACATTGATTGTATTAAAAATTGGATCTTTCAAGTAGAGAATTTAATTACAAATTTAAATTTAATTTTTTTTTCATTTTAGAAAAATTATTGCCCCAAATGTTGGAAAAATGCAGTTTTGGATGATATTAGACAGATTTTTCTTGAAGAAGTATCTCCTTGTAGTTCAGACAATCTACAGAATAAATCAGAATCAAATACAATAAAGGTAGCTTAAAAAATTGTAATAATTTTTGAGATTATAAAGTGATGACTAAAAAATATGGAAGATATAATTTTTATGGGGGCACTGAGGCTTGGTTGTACAATAGTATAGGAACACAGACTGGAAAACTCCAAGTATATATCATTAAATTTCTCTCGACGAGCTGAATTCAATTATGAAACCTTTTTAGAAGACAAAACTCAGATAGATATAGGCCCATAAATATTGAAGAATCATGGGGAGAACCAATGGATTTTTGGGGTAAAAAGTTCGATTATACAATTGCTGCTCATTCGAAAGAGACCAACGAGCTGAGTTGATTATATATTATGTTTTTCTATTTTGGAAAATTCAATTAAATTTAACTTTCTTTAAAAAATTTTTATTTTATTTCAGTTATATATGAAAGTTATTGATATTATTGAGCCAATAATTCTCGAAAAGGTGAAAACCTCTGATACAATTGAAATTATTAAGTGTATGGTTGAAATGAAGACTGGAATACCGCCGTCTCAACAACGTTTGGTCTGTAAATTAAATTCGAAAAATATGTTAAATAATTATTAAATTTATAAATTATACCCTGATATAAATAAACGAACATTAATTTTTGGAAAAAAATTTTTTTGGAAACTTCTAGAACGGCTCGCGGACAAACCGTCAGTGAACATTTTTTGTAAGGGGATTAAAACAGATCGAGGATTTGGAAAATTGAGGAAATGGGAGAATTTTCGGTATTAAAAGGATATAAGTAGATTTGTTTGATATCGGGGTTGTATTATTGTTGGATTCGGATGAATATCGTGGGATTAAGGGGAATGGATTAGTTAAGACTAAAAATTTTAGGAGCAATTTTGATCAATAATATTTATATAATCTTTTAAATACATATCAGCCAATATTTGATTTGATATTAATTAAAATAATTTTTAGATTTTCGCTGGTAAGCGACTCGAAGGTGACCGTACAATTGATCAGTATAATATAAAGGATGGTTCGACTATGCACGTTGTTAAGGGTTTAAGAGGTTGTTGATGTTATGTTGTTTGGAACAGAAAAATGTTGAGAATTTTTAAAAATATTTGAATAAATTTTTTTCATACAAAATGTTTTCTAACAAAATTGTTTAATCATTTCTTTATTAAATTTTGAAGCTCTTATTGAAGGAAATAAAATTGTTTGACAAAGGGCTATTTTTAGCTTCTATTCAATCTTAATTAACAAGCAATCAAATATTCATTCGTCTTCCGCACTAAGGTTGTCGGATCCAGGTCAGAAAAAAGGCCGGATATCAGTTAATTTTCAGTTCGGATATCCTAAGCTTTCCAACTATCCTACTTCTACCCTATACAAATACACATGTCAGTGCGTATAAATATTGTTATTATTTTTAATAGCAGCATGGAACAATAAAAAACTTCGAAATAGGATAAAAAGTCTCTAGCATAAATAATATTTAGTTAATTTTTTTTTTGAAATCGATGCTATATGTAAATAAAAATAAAAAAACAAATTAATTTAATTATAAAATTACTCAGCAAATACATGTTTAGAAACATCAAAACAAAATGGTTTAGCATCCAGATCGTTGCCAAAGTTTGCTTCAATAGAAAGGCAATTTAAATTTAAATATAATTGATAATAATCATCACTTTCTTCATTCAATAATATTGCCTTCCCTTTAAAATAATTCTTTTAATTAAAAATATTTATTTTTAAATCTCACCAATCTGATTTCCATCTTGCGTAAAGAAAACATAAGGATGTTTTCCTAACATTTTTGCTGGTGGATAAACTAATCCACACCCAATGATATCTCCGTCATTCCAAGAAAATGAAGGAATTTCAAATGAAATTTCAGCAGTATTTGGAAGAGATTTATAGTAAATACACCCATCACTTCCCAATACAATATATTTTTTTGTATTTCGAAAACCAAACAATGAAAAATCAGGTCCTTCCTTTTTAATTTTAATTTCATAATAGTAAAATAATGAAGCAAAGTTACAATCAGTTTTAGGCTTATAAAACTTATCATTTGCATCGAGATATGCATTCTTGTTTTCGCCTGAATTAGGTAATAAATATTTTTAATCAAAAAACAATTTCAATGTTAAAAATGATTTTTAGTATTTTACTAATATCTGAGAACAGTATTGAGAAAATGTGTATTGAATGAACTTGAGGATTGATTACGCATTTTGATTTTAAAAGTAAAGATTGTGACTTGTGGATTGCGTAAAATTTTCACGATTACAAACATACCTTTCCCCTCTACACATTTATTGTATTTAATATCAGTATCATTAATTATCTCGATAAATCCATTTCCATTTTTGCATTTCCCGGTTGGTGTATTTGTATTTACACAATTATCTTCACAACATTTTTCTCTTCTATCAAAATACTTCCATTTATTTTTAATTTGTATATATTTCTAAAATAATTTGTTTTTTAATAAAATACCCTAATTACTAACCGGTCTTTTATAAACAATATAGTAAATTAAATTTTCTTGTTCTTCTGTTAATTTGATAATTTTTTTATTTAAATCGTTGATTGTTTCATTTCCCTTTAATTTAACAATTTATGTAATTCATAGCACTTTAGATTTTATTTCAACAAAAGAATACCATTCTTTTTTCTTTTTTACGGGTTTATTTTTATGGGGTTATCGGTCGTATTATCTATACATAGCAGAGTAGCCCCTTCCAAAACAAAAAATAGTGCGCAGCCATTCAAATGGGATCACCCCAGAATATCGACACCCTAAATATCGCACCCAAAATATCGACACCCAAAATGACGAATTACCCAACATATCGAATTTTTTAAATTTCATAATTATGTATTCCAATGATCGGGAATGATGTTCAAACATCGGGGAATTGTGCTTTCGATCGAACTGACCATAGCGACCGATCAAGATTCTCCTTGGAGATCGATCACTCTCTCGTTGATTGGATATATTGATCAGATTGATGTTTGTTGCATTGTTGGAACAATTTCCCTATGTTAAAAAGGTTTATTTTTATGGGGTTGTCGGTCTTCCCCGTCCTTGGAATACATAATTATGAAGTTTAAAAATTTTCGATATTTTGGGTAATTCGTCATTTCGGGTGTCGATATTTAGGGTCATTCGATATTTTGGGCTTCGATATTTAGGGTGACGATATTTAGGGTGTCGATATTCTGGGGTGGAGTCCATTCAAATATAGGTCGAAATCGGCAAAAATAGGGCAAAAAAATTATCTATTTTTCACTAGTTTTAACAAAATTTAGCAAATAGGGAAGGGAACAGAAAAAAGACTGATATCTCTTTTGATATAACTCTTTATCAATGCAAATCAAGTCGGATTTCTTCCTTTTTCAGCCATTCCATCTACGGAATTCTACAGTTATAAAAATTTTATAAAATGGTAAAAATATGGCAAAATATGGCAAACGTATAAAATAGGGAAAAAATAGGGCGAAAAGGTCGAAAATAGAGAAAATCCTCTATAAATAGAGTAAAAGGGCCACCCTGATACATAGTCTAGAATATCTCGTTTATAGAATATCATCCAAAGTTAATTATGATTTAGTGGATAAAGAATGCCTCATTTATTATTTAACAACCTTTTTAGCTTGAATCTCCAAAGAATTAATTTTGTCTTCCTTTTGTTGAATTTTTTCCTCCATTAACTTTATTTTATTTAAATGTTCCTTCTCATTTTGGTTAATTTTTGTCTCCAATGATTGAATTATTTGATCTGTCTAAATAAATTTTTTATTTATTTTTATTATTTAATTTTAATCACAAAGCAAATATTTCTCCAAAATTACCAACAATTTCTTCAAAAAAATATTTAAATGCCCCATTTTACTTTAATTACAAATTTAATCTGCAAAATTTAACCCAATATACAAAACAATAATCAAAATTTCATTAAAAGACGTATTCAATTAATAATTTACCTTTTGTTTTTTCACACTTAATTGTTCAAATTCAAAAATTAATTCTTCATTTCTTTTATTAGAAGAAGAATTCATTTCAAATAACTTTAAAAAAATAAATTATTATATTAAATTTAGCATGATACTATAAGTTGAACTTGGAATTTCCGGGCTTTTCCTGTTTAATTCACAATTCTGGCCAATCTCAGTGTTTTAACAATCTATGTTAAATACAAAATAGGATCCTAAAACCTACATATAATATACTCAAGAATTATAGTAAACCCGGAATTTATATAGAATTTTTTTAAATTTGTTTTTCCACTGGCTATGGGATGCTATGCATTTAAGACACAGGTTGGCATTCCAGGAATCCTATTTAATTTTATTCGACTCATCTAAATGAGAGGAATTACTTAATATACTAAGATTTGGAGAACCTTAAAAAGTATTAAGTATTTTTTAATTAGTTTAAGTATAATTAAACTCCACAATAAATTACCTCCTTAATATCTCCTTCTAATGAAGTTATTTTTACTTCTTTTTCTTTAATGATTTCTTCCAGATTCTCAATTTTGTTTTTATTTTCTTTCTCCAATTGTTGATATTTTTCTTTATTTTCTTGTTTTATAATTTTTATATTAGCCTCATTTTCTGTCTTTATCTGCTTAATTTGATTTTGAAATTCCAAAAAATTTTTATTATAATCAGCTTGCATATCACTCACTTGCTAAATTTAAAATAAGAATTATCCTAAAATAGTAAACATTTTAGCATGAAATAATTTTGGGCCAAGAAAAATATAATCAAAAAACCGGTGAGAGAAGAGAAGAAAAATGGGAATTGACAGGAAATGGTTGTTTTTTGATTTTCGTGATTGTCTCTAGTGCTTGCCTTCGTTCTGTATCGAGTACCGAAATTTTTTAGTTTTCAGAGAATTTTCTAAAGATTTTTCACGGTTTTCGGACAAAGCTTAATAATTCGCATAAAAATACATATTACTACTACATACTTGATAATAAGTATTTTTATTAAACTTTCAAATAAATTAACTTTAATAACCAAAACATTTAGTACCTTTTTGAGTTCACATTCCAATAAATTTATTTTTTCATCTTTTTGTTGAATTATTTTTTCTAAATTTGTAATTTTTTCTTTATTTTCCTCCTTTATTTCTTGTATTTTTAATTCCAAAGAATGATAATTTTCTTTATATTTTTGTTCCAGATTTTGACATGTTTCTTTTTCTTTGTTGGTTATTTCTTGTTGTAAAAGTTTTATTTTTTGGTCAAAGTTATTTTGGATATTTGATAAACTTTTATCATTATCCACCTCTAATTTATTCATACACTAAATATAAAAATTCAGATGATCCTTATTATTAGGTTTGCCCAAATGAACCGACTCGGACCGAAAGATGTAGTTGGTCATATGATATTTGCCCGAAAAAGACTTGTACTCGATAAAAAATAAGCCCGAAAAATGATTCGAGCGCCGGCCCGACTCGAAAACGGCAACCCTACTTGTTATAGTATACCCTCACACATTTATACAACTTTAGTTTATTTTTCAACCCCAAATGGGTACGTTGACTGTACATTTTTAGTAAAAATTGTTTTAACAAAATTTAATAAAAGTAAATATTTTTAATAATCCAAAACAAACTATAACAGGGCTTCGATTTCTGCGGATTTTTCCTCATTTTGTGGTTTTTTGATAGGACGATGAGGATTATTTTTAAAAATGCGGATTTGCGGATTTTTGTGGCCTTTTGAAGATTATGAGGATTTTTTGTATTTTCTTGTAGTTTTTAGGCTAAATGTCATTATTTTTCTGCTAAGACCATCAAAATCCTCAAAATTTTCGCCTGCGGCGCAACAAAAAGTTTTTCGAGTAATCAATTCACTACAACTAGGGACGGTGATGGCATTGGCTCAAGTCAACTGTAGTTTTTCATTTGATTGTCCGGATTTTAATAAGATAGTCATTAGTAGTTAAAAACTAGAGTTGGACAAAACGATACTGGTATCGGCCAACCCGAGACCGAGACTGACCGATACTCAAGAACCCGATACCGAGACCGATACCATCATTTTGAGCCGAGACCGATACCGAGAAACGATACTGACCGAGACTAACAGAAAATTTTATTTTACGCCAAAAAATACGTGTAAAAATAATTTATTCATTATTTTCATCATCCAAATCATCAGATAAATACTCTTCATCATCTGGATCCGATTCGATTGATTTTCGAGGTATCAGTATCTCGTCCTAGGATAAAGATATTGGCCTAGTTTCTTTTTATTTTTTATGATATAAGTATATAAGTTTGCTGGAATTTTTGTAGATTTTTCCTAATGTTCGAAATAATTTTTTGGGAAGTGGAACTATAGTTATGTGGAGGTGTTTTCCAACAAAATATTTAAAACACTAGTAATTTTAATCCCAAAATTAAATTTTGATTTTTTATTAGTCTTTTAGGTACCTGAGGACAATATTTAAACGAAAATTTAAAAAATTTTTGGTGTCTAAATGGAAAAAAACACGAAAATAAGGGTGGAACTATAGTTATGTGGAGCACTGTATTACATTCTATTACATTCGATATCCCACCGCCTCACATTCGATATCCCTCCAAATCCATTGATATCCCCATAAACACCCAAATCCCTCAAAATAACCCAGTATTGTATTTAAGCCTTTTAATTTTATTAAATTACTGGGACTCAGTTGAGCTAGATAAAAAAGCAACTCAGTCGTGCGAACTCAATCGTAAGGGCTTAGTGAAATGCTCGGATTTTGTAAGGCAAATAAAGAATGATTCACTCTTTTCAGCGCC